GTCCTTCCGGGCAGGCGGGGGTCGTTAAGGGGTTGGTGATTACTCTCATGCTTAGGGTTTAGGGTTCAGGGTTTTAGAGTTTAGGGTTTAGGGTTCAAGATTGTAGAGTTTAGGGTTTAGGGTTCAGGGTTTGAGAGTTTAGGGTTTAGGGTTTTAGAGTTCAGGGCTTAGTTAGGGCCTCAAGCCCAAAGGTTCCGACATAGAACCCCACGTCCCCAAAAGAAGTTACTTACTTGAAGGTTCAGAACTAGGTTTTAGATGGGGCTTAGACAAGTCCCATACTGGAAGGTAATATAGTCCCGCTTAAGCAGAAATATGGGGTATATGGGGATCTTATTATAATATACCCAGAGCCATATTCTATCTACTTAAGGGGGACAACATACGTAAAACCCCGTTCATAACCCATCTACTGACTCTCCTGAACCTTCAACATCTCGGTCTAAGGGTTTAGGCCTAAACCCTAAACCCTAACCCTAGCATCATCTCACTTGCGGACCCAGGGGACCTTTCCTGTTCCACTGCAAGCTTATAGGTCCAGGTTACTTCTAAACTACTTACTACGTGTAGGCATAGCCCAGGCATGAGTCCCATCACTACAATTACGCTTGATCTGGTGGGGTTAGAAGTTCGTTATGCGTCTCTGGACCTCGAAGTATTCAAAACCCAGAATCCTAAACGTTAAATCCTCAAACAATGTAGTCATATGTAATGTAGGGGCCCAGATAATTATCCACATCATTTCAGGTCTATTTGAGAGACCCTATACCATACCTAATTCGCAGTTCTAGCGGTGCATGCTTTAGGCCCCTACAGTACCTAAACCCTAAACCCAGGACTTCCAAGTAGTTCCTAGGTCTAAACCCTTGAATCATTGAAGAAGACCACGAACGCCTTCAAGCTCTGTACCTAAGGAATGATGATATACTACCACAACAGAATCGCATAGAAAGTTTTGGGTAGAGGCTGAAACGGCAAAAACCGGCACAACTTCTCTACACTGTGAAAAGCTCATAGCACCTACATGTTCTGGCCCCAAAGCCTCAAAGAGCCAACGCCATGTCTCAAAATGCCTAAGCCGTCATTTTGGCATTCAAAGCAAAACGGACAGTATATAGGGGCTTTCCAAAAATTAGGGGTACATTTTTGGGGTCCGTATCATAGGGCCTATAGCGTATTGGGGTCTACATTGGGGGCCCCTTATTTTGGGAAACTACTTTATACCGTTACCTAGGTCCCCAAGTAGCGCAATGAAAATCCTTTTGACCCCTTACAGGCTAATCACACCCTAAACCCTAAACCTTAAAGATACTTTTATCCTCCAACTCCCCTTTCGACCCTGAAGGCGATTTTTCTGGTGTCTATTTGAAGTATCCTAGGGTTTCAGGTTTCGGGTTTAGGTCTGCTTGAGGTACTCTATATCAAAATTATGCTATAACTCTAATACTGGTGACTGTTTGGGCTTAGCATTAAGCCCGCTCTCTAATGCGAAAAACCACCCAGCCCTCCCCAATATCAAGTCTTCTCATTGAGGGAATTTTCCGCCTAAAGGATCCACGTAGTTTAGTTTCAGGGTTTAGGGTTTAGTGTAGTATACACTTGGATCCCAAAGGGGTTCCCAGATAACTACTCTAGGGCCCAAGTACAAACTACGTAGGAACATGGACCCTTTGGGGAATGTTAGGGTGGTAGGGGGGTATGGTGTGAGGAGTAGACTACTTGGGCCCTTTGCGTAAGACCAGATGCTGTTATGAGGGTTGAGGGTTTAGCGGCTTAGGATTTTAGGGATTCAGGACTGAGGATGATAGGTTCCCCCTACCGTCCGTCAGTCGCTTCGAGGAACCCAAAAGATCCTTAAATGAATCTGTTTGAAGCGAAATCTGAGGCGGGGTAGTATACGGGGGGGGAAATTGCTAAACCCTAAAAGGATTATCCCTTGACTCTTTAAACCCTATGCAACCCCAGTATAACCCATTATAAGCCTATATAACCCCATTATAACCCTATATAACCCCATAGTGATAGGGGAGCCCAGGATGTTAAACCCTTTACCCTAAACCTCATCCCTACGCAGTATAGGGAACCCAGGATGTTAACCCTGTCTAACCCCATTATAACCCATTATAATCTATACAACCCCATTACCAGCATAACCCATTATAACCCCATTATGATAGGGGAACCCAGGACCCTAAACCCTAATCCCTAAACCCCAACCCCTACGCCCTAAACCCTAAAACCCTAATCCCTAAACCCTAATCCCTAAACTGTAAGCCCTACGCAGCATAGGGGAACCCAGGATGTTGAGAAGTCTGCCTCAGGCTGGCGTTGCGGCGGCGGAGGAGGGGGCGAAGGCGAAGGCGACCGATCCTGGAAACGGGTTTAGGGTTTAGGGCTTAAGGCCTGAACCAATTGGTGAGGGTTGAGGGTTTAAGGTTTAGGGATAAGATCCCATTTCGTTAAAATAAACGAACACCTTATCGGGAAGAGAATATTGAAAAGGGCCTAGAAACAAGCGTTGGGGCTATATTCGGATTACGGAAACATTGGGATAATGGAAAACATGGAAACTACTATACTATGTAGGGATAATATAGGGCTTTAGGGTTTAGGGTAGGGCGTATTGAATTTGAATAATGGGGAATTGAACGTTGACCGAACACCGCAGAGGGCTCTCTCACTGCAGGCCGGGAGGTGTTTCATCTGCCGCCTCAAGGCTGAAGTAGTGCTCGTGAAATTCCTTGCGTGGGATCGTGTGGAGCCAGAATCATCTATGATGGCCACCATGTGAGTTGTAGTCTAAACTCCTAGTATGCCAGGGTGCTTGAGCTGAGTATTCAACAGCAAGTATCCCCCTCAATAACTCCCATAGTAGTCCCTTATATATATCCCATATATAACCCACCTTTAAGGAGTGTAGACTAGAGTACATGTAGCGACCGGGACCAGCCGGGTGTAGCTCGCCCCATTTCGTCTGGAAGCGGTCGTCTTCTTCAAAGTCAGCCTTATCTCAACAGCAATCCGCACGGCCTCAAAGGCTGGCAAGGAATGGGGAATCCTAGGGTTTAGGGTTTAGGGGTTTAGAGTTAGAGAAGAAATATGGAAAACGAGATGGAATATGGGATTGCAGTTGGTGTTGCATCCTTGTTTCGGGGTATATTATGAGAAGCATCTTGCTATAATTTCATGCGGCTAATGACTTCAAAGCTCAACCCCCCCCCTATCCTCAAAACCCAAACTCAAGTGAGTAGTGTTTTTTTGGTGGTTGAACCTAGTAAGATTATATCCCTTTTTATAAAATACTATACCCCCAAAAGAGGATATAATCTTACTCTATATTGGGTACCATCGTATCCCCAAATCAAATACGACTCAAGTTTGGTCAGCGTCCGCCCTAAACCCTGATCCCTAAACTCTCATTTCCCATCTCTTGGGGCTTAGGGCAGGCTAATAGGGGAATATATAGGGGTAACATTGGGAAAGTGGAAACTACTAGATTATGTAGGGACAATATAGGGATAACATTGGCTAGGGTTTAGGGTAGGGCGTATTTTGAATTTGAAGCCCTAAACCCCTAAATCCTTACTGGGAGCATTGCGGATGCTCGTTTTCAGGGGCTTACCGTATCCAATCGAAACATGGAGCCACATACAACACCCTTCGAGTAGAAGGGTTTTCTACGTAGGGTGTTTAGGTTTCAGGGTTTAGAGTTTAGGGTATAGTGTTCAGAGTTTAGAGTAGTCTTCGTAGGACCACTTTACAGGTCTTGGTTGTGGCCGCTTTTTGAATTGCAAGGCCTACTTGAACGGAACTTCACACGGAGGGATATGCATCTGTTCGAGAAGAGAACCTGAAAGCTGTCAAAACGGTACTCCCGCACCTGCAGCACTTTGGACCCTCCATCTTAAAACCTAAGCCCTAAGCCCTAAACAAATCTTAAACCCTCAGCCCTACCTGCAGCGCCGAAAACCAAACCTCCACACCTGTCAGACCCCCAGTCTCTCCAGTCTTGCTGGGGTTTAGGGTTTAGGGTTGATGTTTGAGATTTTGTTGATCAACTTTCTTGGACATGGGGGAAGTCGATTAGCCCCAAGTAAGCCCAGTTTCCATTTAATTTTGAATTCTATTTTCCGGTCGCTTTTCCACTCGCGCGGGGAATCTACAATCTACAAGGTCCCACACCAATGTCGTCTCTGCATCTAAACCCTAAACCCCAAAGCTGAGCATCCCTCCAAACATCCTCCCAGCAGACGCAGGCCAGCACAGAAAACTAGAGTCAGGGTTTCCCTCACTTGGGGTCATTTAGGGGCTACACTCCTCCAAACTAACATGGAAACCCAAACAGTCCTGTTTTAGAAGGACTGTAGTCTTTATAGCGCCCTTTTTGGGTTTCCATATTAGTTTCCGGGAGTGTACTTCATAGACCTTCTGCTAGACAGCCGATTGTCTGGACACCAACTTGGGGTCTAGCAGCCGCCGGAGCAGAATGCGAGAATGCAACCTGTGGGCACAGAAAAACCCGATGCGAGAGCTGCAAAATGCAAAGCTAAAGCCGATGACTCGGATGACTCAGGTCCCCTCTAGTGGCGCTAGCGCTGCGGGCAGCTGCATGCTGCCTGCTTCCCGAGGAATGGCCTTGCGTTGCATCGACTTTTTGTGGTTTTGTGCATTATTGCCATGTTTAACGTTGTATTGCCATGTTAGCTGTCACAGAACTGGACGGGCATCTCAGAGCCGTGCACGGCATGAATGCAGTATGGTCTGTAGAGCCTTGTTTTGCTCCTGCAGCTTGCTGCCACTGACCACTGCATGAAAAGAGTCTGCTTTCAAGTCATATGAGCAATTCATGCACGCAGAGCTGTCTTCACTAGCCAGGACTTCTTGCACTCACTAAAGGCTACTGACTTTATACACAATTTTTCTTTTCGAGTAGATTGAGCTATGTAGTTGAAGACAAGGCCTCATGCGAACAGCTCTGTTTGTTGCGATGAGGCGTTTGCCATTGAGGTGACTGGACGCTTCATCTCCAGCTCTCTCTGGAGCTGAAAGTCCTGTGGTTGAGTGACGAGTGGACGCTTCAGCTGAATTGTTGAGCTGCAATCTTCCCACGACATTCTGCAGCGCTCCTTGCTTTGCAGCTCCTGTCGAAGCCTTGCGGAGCGCAATTGCAGCTTCACACTGACCATTTCTATGCCCGTGCCTCTCAATCTCTGCATCGAGCCCCTGCTTCACAGCCTCAAGATGAACGTGCCAAGCCAGATCCTGGATGCTGAGCTGTACTTTGGCATCTCTGCCTGGGCCTCTGCTCGCAGCCCGGCAACCTCACCCTGGAAAGGAATGGCGCGGCTTTGGAGCCAAAGCTTGTCATGCGAAAGAGACAGGATCTACGTGCTACAAGCAACCATGAGGCCGTGTGAGAGTGTTTGAGTTGGGCTTGACATCTCACGGAGCTCAGAGACTGCAGGCTTGTGCAAAAACATGGCTTTGGGGTGCAGGTTTCAATCCTCCACCAAACTGCGAAGGGCAGAATACTCAGAAACTGCACGAGGGTGCCAGGCCCAAAAGCTGTGGCCTCCAAAGCTGCGTTGCGGGTGCGAAAGCTTGCAAGCTGTGCCTCAACACGCCTGGCAACGGATTTGGCGAATTCACCGACTGCATGCACAAACTGACATTGGAGCAAAGCTCTGGCTTTTTTTTTGATCCTCGTCTCCGCTTCAGTGTCTTCGTCAGTGCTGCTACCTGAGCTGTCAGAGGATGACGATGAAACCGAAAGGGCCCTGCCGCCCCTCACTGGCTGGCGTGTGGCTGCGCACGCAACACGTGGTGTTCCACCCGACTCAGGCCTCTTTTTCTGCAATTGGAGTATGACTGCCTTCCAGGAATCCAGCAGACGGGCAGCAAAGCCTGACAATTCCTTGTCGTAGTCCCGCCGCACCTGTTTGACAAGTGGCACGGCGCCTGTGTGGCGCAAGTATTCCAGCATTCGATCGCCTCGAACCGGATACATGCAGACGGAGAGACGCCGTAAGAAATCCAGAACTATTGCATCTGAAGCTTGCGGAGGCTTGAGTGATTGCCGCAGCCGATCACACAGTGCTTTGATTTCTGATTTTGATGCGTGGATGGATGCTCGCTTGGAGCGACATACGGCTCCACAGTCTTCTATCCGCAGTTGACGTAGGCATCGTTCTGGAAGGAGGCGTTGACCTTCAGGACCCCAATCGTGGCAAGCACAAAACATCAATCAATCTGCAGCAAACTGTGCCCCTGGTCAAGGCACCTTGGACGCCCGTTAGCAAAATATGACACGCTGAATATCAAACCTCACACGCCCTTGTGACATGATCCTTGGGAATTGCAATGCTCATCAAAACGCATCAAGAAGCCTTGCAAGCATGGCTGAAAAAGTAAGATGTTCAATCAGTATACTACTTACAATTCTAATACGGATGGTGCGAAGTATTGTGTGTCCTGAATACCTTCCAGGCGCCCTCGCAACCTTTTGTTTTACAAGTTCGACTTGGCGTTTCCATACGCGAAGAAATGGACAAAAGAATGGAAACTACTGCATTGCTTAGGGCTCGTGGTATGGGATATGTGGACATAAAAAATGAAATGGAAACGATTGTACGTACTATTTTGGAATGAGATTGGAGCACCAAAAAGAATCATAGTCCTTATTGTAGGGACTTCCAACCCCGATTTGTTGCAAGCCCCACTTGTATCTAGTTAGTACTGGAAGACAGAGGGTTGAATGCTGGCCTTGCGCTCAGGGCGCGTCTCCCCAAACCACGTGATTAGGAACACCAAGTAAAATGCGATACCCCAATTAATCCCAGCGTGCCCCTAGACGTCTGATTTGGAAATCAACTACCAGTGCACTACGCCTAGATGGACGATAACTAAACTAAACAGAACTCCACATGACGCAACCTACTGGCATCTACAGGAAGATGCCGCTGTCAAGTACCAGATGCCCGCCTTGCGACTTGGATTCTTTTGATCTAGATCGTGAGGTTTTATCACGGCGCTTCTGTCCCATGCTTCAGCGCGGAATCATCGAGACATCCAAGCTTTCCTTGTGCAGGTCACATGTTGGAGACGGATGGTCCGCCCTGTGTATGATCTAATGTATGCTTTCAGAATTCCCACGTTGTGAGTTGCTGCTTCTTCTTTGACTCACTTTGTTGATCTTAATCCAGAGCCATTCAGCTGCTGCGACCAAGCAGTTGGAACAACGCAGCAGTGGAGGAATGGATCTTCTAGTAAACCTCAAACACCACCTTAAAAATTACCGGTCTTCCATTCCTTCATTCCCTGCTAACCAAGTGTAAGCAATAGCCAGATATATTGTTTCTTTTTCGTTTGATTCTCCAGTGCTGGGGTAGTATCCCTAAATACTGCCATGCACTCAGAATGACACAGAATAATGTAGTAGTTTCCCCTCCCCGCACCCCCCGCACCCCCCCCACCCCCCCCACCCCCCCCCCCCCAACCTCCT